AATACCAGGATCTAGAATTATTAAAGAATTACTAAAATCAGGGCTAGGGAAATGGCTCCGTGGAATAAGCCCTTCCCTGGCAAGTGCAAGGGTCTGAGTTCAATCTCCAGTTCCACCAAAACAAACAAACAAACAAACAAACAGAATTACTAAAATCAGGCCAGCCAAATAGCTCAGCGGATTAAAGTACCTGCAAGCAGGCACAGGGGCTGGGGGTTTGATCCCCCAGGCCTGCCATGCCCGCCCCACCCCTGGGGCTTGCTGAGACAGCAACGGAGACTCAGTGTGGTGGCACGTGCACCTGTAATCTCAGCACTTGGGAGGCTGAAAACAGGTGGATCACTACAAGTCCAGTCTAGTAGGGAAACCCTGAACACCCTGTAGACCCTTCCCTAAAATAAAAAAAAAAAAAGAATTACTAAAATCAATATGATAATCTACACTATTACAAGAGAAAAGTGAAACTGAGAGTGGCAACACATGCCTGCAATCTCAACATTCTGAGAAGTGGAGGCAGGAGAACTGAGTTCTGGCAACTTTGTGACATTCTTTCAATACAAAGGGGTTGGGAGTGGGGATGTAGTCCAGTGTGAAGGCCTTGGATTCAGTCCCCACTACCAGAAAAACAAAAACAAAAGCAAAAAAAAAAAAAAAAAAAAAGGCAGAAGACCTGACTTTAGCATACACTAATCAAAATAATAGATATGTCACTAAATAAAAAGATCTTCAATGTCATTAGTAATTAGGAAAAAGAAAACTAAACTGACCACAAAATTCCCTCACCACATTGGTAAACAGTGAGTTTGACACCATTAGGTGTTGATGAGAATACGGAGCAACGGGAGCGCAGTGCTGGGGTGGGGGTGGGAGTGCTGCTTGGAAAAGCTTAGCCTTATCATCTGTACCCTCCATGAGCCAGCAGGTTTGTCTTAGTTTACATTCTAAACAAACCTTTTCAAATTAGAACACAAAACAAAAATGTTCCCAGCAGCTTTGCTTACTGTAACAAAACTACAATAAATTACAGCTAGATACAGCAACATAGGTTAAATTTTAGAAATGTAATGTTGAATTTAAAAAGAATACTACAGAAAACTCCTATAATATGATATCATTTTTTGAAAGTTAAATACAACCACAACCATAGAATGTATTGTTTAGGAATCATATAACCTGGATAACTTATTTTTTTAAAAGACAAAGAAGTCAAACTAAAGACAATCATTCATTTTATCTTTAGGAAAATGGCAGGTGGTAGTATGAAATTGGAGAAACTTTGCTTCAGCAGTGTTTTTAATGTTCTGGCTTCAAGAGAGTTTTTAATGTTCTAATTTAAGTTTGTTGGTAGGTTCATAGGTATATGTTGATTATTTGTTATATTTTGGTATATTCATAATTTCTATTTGTGATATTTTTGTATCATATAGGACAACATAAAAACTCAAAATTTATAGAACTAGGGAGATAGCTCAGTAGAATAAGCACTTGCCTGGCAAGCGCAAGGGCCTGAGTTCAATCCGCGGTTCCCCCTGCAAAAAAACCCCTCAAAATTTTTTCAAAAGGGGTAAGTACTAAATCTAAATAACAAAACCATAAAAGTATTAGAAGAAACCATGAGATACCGGTTTAAAAATAATCTTGGGGTTTAGGGGGATAGCTCAGTGGTAGAATGTTTGTCTAGCATATGTGAAAATGGATTCACTGATCTGCAGAATCTAAAGAAAAAGATAAAATGATCATGGCATGGTAAAATCCTTTCCTAATGTAATAAAAACCCCAGAGTACTAAAAGGTTGAGGAACTGGGCAAAGTTCACCAGAGGCAAAGTTAAAAGGAGAACACATATCTAACTCACTGTGCGTGCCCTCCTAGTGGCACTGACAGCTTCTCATTCTCCATTGCCTACCTCGTATCTCCATGAGCTCTGGGTACCCCAGGAGCCAGCCCTTAGACTCTTACTGGTTCCTGTCAATGCTAAGTTCCTCAATGATTTCATTCAGTCAGATTTATCCTTTGACTTTTCTGTTGGGAACCATACTCACGACTTTAGCTTCCTTCTTAACGTATCTACCTGCATGCTTAGTAAGCATCTTAAACACACACAATACAAATCAAACTCCCCATCTTTCTCCCGGCAAACTTGTTCTGCCCTACATCTCAGTAAACTTCAAGTCTCTCAGCTAATCAGATCCGATACTCTTGGCAATGTTTTTGACTTTGAGCACTCTAACTCCCAAAATCCAACCCTCCCCATAGCACTCCTAGTTTCAGCCTCCACTATCTCTCCCTTGGATTACTACAGTGGCTTCATAACTCACCTCCCTGCCTTGTACAGGTCATCAGCAATACAGGAGCTGGACTGGTCTTGCTAAAATGTGTCAGATCTCATCAAAATCCTCTACAGCTTCCACATCCTTCGACATAAAAGTGAAGAGGCTGGGGAGATAGCTCAGCAGTCTAAAGCACCTGCTCAAGCAAGCTTAGGCAGGCATATGGGACTTCAGTTCAATCCCTGGCACCACATGCCATGCCAGCCCCACCCTCAGGGCAGGCTAAGCTGGCAAAAAAGAAAATTGAAGGGGCCGGAGAGATAGCTCAGTGGCATAAGTGCCTGCCTGGCAAGCACAGCTCATGAGTTTGACCCCTGCTACCAAAAAAAAGAAAAAAGAAAAAAGAAAAAAAAAGAAAAAAGAAAAAGAAAAAGTGAAAGCTCCATAGTGTCCCCTTGCACAGCCCAGGTGCAGCCTCTGCAGCCCTGCATGGCCTAGCCTTCCTCCCGCCACACCCTTCACTTCTGGCGGCTTCTCTATCTGTCCCCTGGACGCCAGCCACCTGGGCCGGTTTGCTGACCCTTGAGCACACCATATACATTCACGGAGAAAGCACTCTCCCAATGGATACATAAATGACTTGCTCTTTTACATCCTTCATGTCTTGGCCCAAATGTCTCTTCAGTGAAGCCTTAAATCCTCTAACACTGCCATTCCCTTTTCCTAGGCACTCCTTGATCTTTCCAATAGTTTCATTTTTCTCCTTCATGCTACCACCATCTAACATGCCGTAGGTTTTGTTCATTTAGTCAGTGTATGTCTGTCTCCCCTTACTAAACTGTAAGCCCAGGAATACAAGGCTTTATGTCTATTTTGCTCATTGCTTAATTAACATCGCATAAGAGACCCTAGCATGGAAAATATGCTCAAAAATTACTGAACAAAACCCCAAAATACGTAATCGGTCAGAGTATGGGGAACATACATTCTAAAAATTGCTGGTATGAATGCAATTGACATGACCTCTACAGAGGGCAAATTGGCAATAACTATCAAAATTACAAGTGGATATGTCCTTTGATCCAGCAAGTCTCCTTTTAATAATTACCTTCATATAAATTTACATATGTGTGAAATGATATATAGACCAAATAACTCAGTGCGGCACTTTTTTAATTTCTGAAAACAGCCCAAACGTGCAACAATAGCAGACCATTTAAAGAAATTATAGGGCTGAGGTGATGGCTCAGTAGAATAAGTGCTTGCCTGGCAAGTGCAAGTCCGGAGTTCAATCCCCCGTACCGCAAAAAAAAGAGTTTTGTACAGGGTCTCAGGATAAATCCTGAGGGGATTTGATTGACCTTATCAGATCCAAAAGCTACAACTCTTGTTGCATAGGTCTTGCTTTATCTCAGTCTTAACCATCCAGCAGAAAAGTATAAAAACGAAGTACAAGAAGTAAAGCCATGTTGTTATGGTGAGCTGTAGGGGACTCAGGTCAACAATTTCTGACACTGCCAGTCACGTGGAAGACCCAATACTATGATGGATTACTGGACTCCTTTAGAATATTTTGCTGAGTTAACACTTGTACAGCAAATAACTACTTGGAAGAGAGTATGCAATGTGTTAATTATTGAAACTGTCCTACCAATTTGATTTGAAACTGTCTCATTGCTATTTGTCTGTCAATAAAATTATGGAAAAAAAAAAAGAAATTATGATGTGTCCATAGAACAGAATCTTTTGCAGTAGAAAAAAACAATAAGGAGGTTTCTGTTGGAATATAAGCCCAAATAGATTTTTCAGAGAAAAAGGTGCTGAAAATATATTTAGTATGTCACCAATTTTATAAAGTGAAGGGGAAAGGGGCAGAAAGACAATGTACTATAGACCGCTATTTTCTTGTACATGCAAGGACTATTTCAGGGAAGATACACAAGAAAATCATTCTTATTTTGAGAAACCAGCAATGGTTTCTTATTTGATGGGGAAAGGATGGGCAGGAAACAGAGCAGAAAACATTTCCTATAAAGCCTTTTAACTATCTTGCAATTTTACATTTTGTGAATGCTTTCTTTCTACTAAAAGGAGAATAAGGTGTGGCTTTTGCTCCCATACGGAATGATATTTAAGATGCACTGTTGCCCAAAAGCAAGGTGCAAACAACTGTGTACAGTGTGCTAGCACGGGGAAGGCAGGCTGGCTTTTCCATATTTACACTTTTCTACCTTTTGAGTTTTATACTTTATGCATTTCCTGTAAAAATGATTTTAAAAAGGAAATGATAAGCTAGTGCATTTTCACGTGTGTCACCTTGATAGGACTTGCCAAGATTGACACCTGACAAGCATTCCGTTTCTCCAGTGACCACAACAGATGTCGAGAGAAGTCAAAGTACACAGAGGTACCAGGGCCAGGCTCCTGCTGACAGCTAGGGCCCCTGGTCACAGTGTAGCCCGATGCTGGTACACCTCCTCCCTTCCTGCCCCTGCTCCTGACCTCACCTCCTGCAGCCCCCAGCCTTCCCAGGGTTTCCTTGCCAGGTAGTCAGCGTAGCACTGCCAGCAAGTTTGCCACCAAGGGCTTGGCTCAGGGGCCCTGGCTGGCGCCTCCTTGGTGCCAGGCAGCTTCTCTGCAGGATACTGTGATCCTCCCTCAGTTCTGCTTGGTCCCAGGGTGAGCACAGAACCCCTCCCTGGCCTTTCCAGGCCCCTCCTTGAGCCTGTACCTGTCAATAATTACTGGATCTGAAGGCGTCTCATTCCGGTTGCCACAGCTCTTCCGGTCACAGCACCGGCTGAAGGAAAGATGAGGGGGGAGGAGGAGGAAGAAGTGAGAGGAGGAAATTATAGGGGGCTGCCCCTGGTGGGGTACCAATGTCCTAGCTCTTGGCGTGGGATCCTTGGGTGCAGGGACTCATTCCCAAGGGGCTGGGGGTGAGGGAGGGAGGGGCGGTGAGAGTCCCAGCAAGCATTTGGCAGCCTGGTCTTAGGGGTAAGGCTGGTTAGGAAACCCTTGTCGCCAAAGTCCATTCCTTCTGGAGAACCCCAGACAGGGCTGGCAGCTGGCCACCTAGAGGGCCTCCCTCTGTGCACTTTGTAGAAAAACTGCCTACTTAAAAAGCTCAAATTGGGAGCATTCAGCTGAGACATGAGCTGCCCTCAGAACTAGCACCCAGACCAAGAAATGTTACAGGACCAGCACCCCAAAAGCCCCTGTGCATCATTCCTTTTCCCAGAAGTGGCCACCATTCCAACTTCATAGTCTGGAACACTATTGTCTTCTACACACAGAGCTAGCTGATCTTGCTAGAAAGGCAGACTCAGGGGTTAACAGGGAAGAGAAGACTGTGCCTGCCCTGAGGTTCACACAGAAGGCAGCAGAATTTCTTCCTACCTCAGAGCTAATCTCCAAGGCCTGGAGCTGCCCAGCCAGATCCTACCCCCATCTCCCCAGTGAGCCCTTCCCCAGAGCTTTATTAGCTACCCTTCCAGCGGCAGGAGGTCTCTCAAACAAAAACACATAGCAAAGCCACATAAACAGGCTTGGCTAATGGGGCCTCAAGGACCCTCTCCTCAGCCAGCACTGTGCCCAGGGGCCTCACCCTCCCCTCCTTTAGCTTCCCCTGGGATCGTGGGTACTGTGAAGGAAGTGGGGGGGGGGGGAGACAAGGCCTGACGGGAGGCCCTGGCAACACCTTGGCAAAGGGGCAAGGTGCAGGTGACGCAGCCCGTCTCACCTGCACATAATCTCGTGGGTGAGCAGCACTCGGCACATTTCAGGGTTCTTGTCCTGCCCTTCGTAGATGATGGCCTGGGGGAGGGGAAGTGTGCAGGCTGGAGAGGAAGGAAGCTCCTCTCAAGTTCAGGTGGATGCAGAAGTGGGCCTGTGAGTCTACACTGGCATCTCCCTGGCCCATGTGGAGAAGGTCCTGTACCCAGAGAAGATCATGTCCTCTGCCTTGCTTTGGGGAAGCCTGGGCTGCAAAGCAGGACCTTGGAGAACACTGCCCCCCAACCAGGACCACCACAGGGCAAAGGGGCAAGGTCTAAAGATCCTATTTGTCCACAGACAGTACTTTCTTAAGCTAGTTCTGCTTGGGGGCTGGGGGCTGGAGCCCCCAGACAATAAGAGGAAGGTCAGGCAGGAAGGTCAGATGATAGGGGGCAGGTGGTCTATATGCAATTTGAGGTACCCTGAGGGTGCTCCTTCCTTGCCCTTCATCCTCCCTGTGCAGGCTTTTCCCATGCTCCTAGTGGCCTCCTGTCTTTTGTTCCTAAGTACTATCATCTTAGCCATCCCTGCTACCTGAACAAACCAAACAGCAGCATGGCTGCCCCTTCCCATATCCCTAGCACCTCCTCAGTCTCCCAGCCCCTCTCTTCCCTGAGTAGGGAGAGTTCCCTAAATTCCAAATCTGGCTTCCCAGTGAGTCTATAACTCTCTGTGGGATCCCTTTCTCTCTGGACTTCTTTGCCCCTTTCTTCACATATCCCTCACACAATTTCCTGTCTGGCTTGCTACCCCCACCACAGTGACCAAAGACTTTCTGGGTGCAGCCATTTTTTTTTTCTGTCCGGGATCAGGTGGAGGCTGATAGAGGCCCCAACCTGTGTAGGAAAAAGTATCCACCTTGCCCTCTGGTCAAGTCCCCTCGGCCAGCAAGCATCCCCTGAGACTTGGGCCCTGCCTTGCAGAATCAACCAGAGCTTATCCAGACTTGTTCTCCCAGGGTCTTACGCTGGCTCTGAGCCTCCTTCTGCTGTTACAGCAGCAAGGTGCCCAGTGCTGCAGTGGAAGCTCCAGGGCTGCATCCGGATCCCTTTACTGAACCTGCTGCATTAGTGTAGGCTTTCTCTTGAGAATGTCTCAGGCTGAGGGGAGCCCTTCTCCTCTACTCCTAAGGGGAGCAGCCCCTCACCAATGACTGACAAATGCAAGGTGCAGAATCTTGGCCTCCTCACTCCAGGTGGGCTGGGGACTACATGCCTTTCCTTCTCCAGCACGGTGTGGATTGGACAGAGGCTACAGTCTGCCTGAGACCACCTGCATGCTGGATATCTTCCTGTCCAGCTCCTGTCTCCTGTGAGCCTCCTCTGATTTCCTTGCTAACTACACACACTTAGATTCCCATCTCAGGCTGAGGAATCTGACCTAAGCCATGGCCTGTATAAATACTGACTTCTCTTATTTCTCCTCCTCCTCCTCCTCCATCATCATCATCATCATCATCAAGTTCAGGCAGGCCTTGAGCTTGCTATGTAGCCCAAGTTGGCCTCAAACTCAAAGCGATCCTCTTGTCTCAGCCTCCTGAGGGCTCGGATTACGGGTGTCTGCCACCACACTCAGTACTGACTTTTCAAGAGTGAAAGGCAAGAGCCCAATCTGCCTATTGTAGGTGATGGTATGGCTTGGGGGAGCTAGACCCATGGGGTTGATGGTGGATGAGAAGACAAGGGCAGAGACTAAGCTGTTCAATGGGACCAAGGAGAGATGGGTTCAAGAAGAGGGCAGGACAGGCCTGAGCATCTCCTGGGCTGGCTCACCTGCTTGGACATGGAGTCGATGAGGCGTACATAGAGGTCCTGCTCTGTCCGAAGCCCTAAGGTGGGAGGGTGGACAGCATTTCCTGTCAGGGGAGGGCTTGGGACCCCTACTGATGGCCCATGGCCATACCCTCCCCAGCCCCAATGAGGGGGCATTAGGTGTAGCACTGTGCACAGGCCCAGAGGGGTGTGACTTTGGCTTACCATTGTTATATACCAGCCTGAGACGGTAATGGATTCCATTGTTTGTCTTTTCTGCTCCAGGTTCCTGCTGGTACAAGACAGGAGGTTACTGAGGTGCAGGGGTGACTCCAGCCTCTTTCACTCCCTTCAGCCTTTCACATACCCGTCCTTTCCTCCATGACCTGTCCACTGACTCCTGTTCCTGTACCCTACTGGGTCTGTGTGCGTGTGCGTGTGTGTGTGTGTGTGTGTGTGTGTGTATACAAGCACATGTGTATGCGCATGCACACAAGCAACTGATCCTAAAGCCCTCCCACCTCTCCCAGCACCAGTCCCAAGCAAGCCCACGAGCCTCTCACTCGGTCCTTTTCCACGAAGTCGATGAATGCCGTGCGCTCAACCTCCACTGGCTGCCCCTGCCGGTCATACATGGCCAGCACGAAGTGGAAGAAGTTGGATTTCCTGAGGTTGGAGGGGGGCTGCTTCTCAAAATGTGCTCGGGCCAGGCCCACACCACTGTGGAAGGAAAGGAGCTAGAAAACCACCAGGAAAACCCTTGGGTGGGAAAGACCCCAGAGCCTCTGGCCAGACGGGTGGGCTGGTCAGGACTCACCTCTAACATATCAAGAGTTTGGGCCAGAATTGAAGTGGGTGGGTTCTATAAACTATCCAACTGGCCTCTTGGATTCAGGAAGAGGCGAGCCAGCACCCAGGCCATCCCAGCCTATGGAGTCATCCTGTCAGGCTCCCACCCACATTCTGCAAGGCTGTCTTCAAATCAAATGTATAAACCAGTCCTTCTTACTGATCAGAGGCTTCTGGGATTGCCTTTTAGTATATGAAGGGGACCAGGGGGCTCAGGAATAAAATTCTCATTGAATCTCAGTCTATGGCTGAGGAGTGCATGAGCCTGTGGCACTGCCTGGGAAATGGTTGTCACCAGACTACCAGAGATATCAGGTTGGTTCCAGGCCACTAGTGTGCCCAGCCTGGACCCTGAGCTGTGGCTGAAGGTGGGAGTCCCCTCCTCAGGTATGCAGGGAGCTACCTCCTCAGAACCATGCCTGAAAGCAAGACCTAAGAGAGCAGGGAGAAGAGAACCAACACTCCCTTCACCAGGTGTTTCTGGAGCTGCCATGGTGCACACAGCTCTGGACATGGGCAACAGGCGAGCTCGGGTTAAATGCTGGAGGGGAGGGTATACCCAGAGAGTGAGCTGGGACACAGGACAAAATGGGATCAAAAGATGTCACCATGTAAAAAACTAGAGGAGTGAAGGAAGACATAGTTAATTCTGTTTTTGCAGGAGATGAGGGTAAGATTTCGTGGAGATGATGGCTTTTCCTCTGGTTCTTGAGAAATACATAGGAGCTCAACAGGTGTAAGAGACAAAGGGCAGAGCATACAACCTAGGAATATGCAGCCACAGATTCCAGAACATGAAGTGAGAACCAGGTGTAGTCAAGTGCCTATAGTAATAGTACTTGGGAGGCAGAGGCAGGAGAATTATTTGAGCTCAACCAGCCTGGAGACCAGCCTGGGCAACACAAGGAGATCCTTTCTCAGAAAAAAAGTGCTGTCTGGTTGGGAATTTCCTGTCAAATCATACAAGGACACAAACCCCATTGTAAGAAGCTTAAACTTTCTCTGGGCCAAGGTCTTCTAAGGCCTGTTCCTTACTTGGTTCATGCCTTTGGATCCCCCCTTTGGAAAGGGTGCTATGGACAAAAAGGCTGGGAGATGTGGGTTTGTAGCACCCATGGGAGTCCTGGGACTCACTGTCTAGGAATGGGCCTCCTTGAGTTCAGGCTGCTGTTCCCCATATGTTAGGCAGCTAGGCTCCAGGATGGTTCCCAAGGATTCCCACCTCCTGGGACTCACAGGAGTGAACCCTTGGGGACTTCCCCTTCATAATGGATCAGGACTGGTCTGTGTGGCCAATGTATGTTAGAAGTGACAGCATGTAAGTTCAAAGGCTGGATCCTAAAAGCACTGTAGCTTCTGCTTTGTCCTCTCTCTTGGATGTCATTCAGGAAGAGCCAGATGCCATCATGGAAGGGTCCTCAAGTTGCCCTAAGGGGAGGCTACACAGAAGATCAGAACCTTTCCCTGACAGCCTGCACTATCTTGCAGGCAGATCCTCTGGTCTTGGTCAAGAATGCAACACTAGGGGCGGGGAGATAGCTCAGTGGAATAAGCACTTGCCTGGCAAGCTCAAGGACCTGAGTTCAATTCCCGGTTCCGCCCCCCCCCCCAGAAAGAAAGAAAGAAAGAAAGAAAGAAAGAAAGAAAGAAAGAAAGAACAACAACAAAAAGAATGCAAGACTGCATGGGGTGGGGGTGGGGCGGCCAGATAGCTCAGCGGATTAAAATGCCTGTTTAGGCAGACTCAGGGACCATGGTTTAATCCCCAGCATGCCCTGCCTACTTTGTGTGCTGAGATGGCAACTGAGACTGGGCATGGTAGAGTGTGCCTATAATCCCAGTGCTTGGGAGACTGAAAACAGGAGGTTCACAGTGATGAGTCTGATCTGTGTAGTAAGACCCCGTAGCCCCTGTTCTAAATACATTAAAAAAAAAAAAAAAAGACTGTATGGGGCCAGTGAGATAGCTCAGCAGTTTAAAGCCCCTACCTAGGCAAGCCTAGGCAAAGTGCAGGGACCACAGGGTTCATTTGATCCCCAGCACCACATGCCATGCCAGCCCCACCCCCAGGGCAGGCTGAGCTGACCACAAAAGAGAAAAACAGAATGCAAGACTTCAGCCCTTGCAGCCTCCAGACAGGACTTGGGTCAGAATCACTCCAAGTGCTGCTCCCTGATCCCTGCCTCTCATCAACTGTATGAAACAAGTAAGTGTTGGCTGTTTTAAGCTGCTATGGCTGGGGTAGGTAATCACTTTCTGCAGGAACAGACAAGGAGTGGACCCAATTCCTCCACTAGGAATACTTTTGTTGAGGAAACAGCACTGAAAGTCACTGGATGGGGCTGGGGAGATGGCTCAGTGGAATAAGTGCTTCCCTGAAGGTCACTGGATGGCTTTAAAGCAGGGCAGAGTTTAGGATGAGATGAGCAGGAGCAGTGGGGTGGACAAGAGGCCCCCCAGGGACACAGGAGAGAGGCCAAGGATGGTGAAACTGTCCGCCTGGTGGCAGGAAGAGCCCCGGTAAGTGTCTGGGACATCTGTGACCATGGCTGCCAAGAGTACTTCTTAGTATTTGTCTTCATATAATTCACAACCCACTCGCTCTTCCTTGGCTTCATGCTAAGTCATGGTACCTGGAATGTTATGGGTGGGAAGGGTTTGCTAAATTTTACTCACACAGACTACGATAAACAATAAAATGAAAATCACTCCACCACCTGAAAGCCTGCTTGGGAGCCACAGTGGCCACATACAGTGAAGGTGTTTGGTCTCAAGCAAGGTGAGGGGCAGGGCCACCAACGTTCTTCCCTCCCAAGTTCTTTCTTTCAGGGGGCTCACCCTCCCTTCCCACTTTGTCCCTCTTAGGTTGCAACTCTTTCCAGCGCCAGCCTTGACCAGCCCTCCACCGGCTTCCCTAACCTGCTGAGAGGCAGGGAAGCCCTAAGAGGGCTTTCGATCTCAGCAGGTCCCTGATTGCTGCTGCTGAATATGCTAATAAGGCCCCAACCCGGAGCTCCCAGCTCCCTGAGCCAGCTTGGCTTGAACTCCACTGGGGAGAGGCTCTAGGACCACCTAGGGAGAAAGAAGCCCAAGGGGTGGTCTTAGCCAACCCTAGCCGAGGGCTGCCCTTTATTCTGTCAATCTGAGCCTAGAAGGCTCTCAGGCCTTGGGGAAGGTGAATATAGAGAAAGAAAGCCCTTCTCGGCAGAGAAGGGCTAGATGCTAAGAACAGACAGCAGCCCCAGACAATTCAGAATGCACTTTCTATACAGATGCCCCTGCAATGCCTGGTGCAAATGCCACACTGATACAGCCCGTCAGCCTTGCTAGCCTGAGCTTCCCCTCCCTCCCACCACCCCCCTTGGCAAATTCCACGTCCCCATCTCCTGCTGGGCTCTTGATGTGTTTTTTTTTTGTCCCCCCCCCCCAACCGGGGATTGAACTCAGGTCCTTGCGCTTGCCAGGGAAGCACTTACTCCACTGAGCCATCTCCCGGCCCCAAGGACCAGACTTGGGAAGTCTGGCCTAAGCCTCAAGCCGAACACCCATCGCTGGGTCCATCCTTTCCATAGGGCAGGTTTCTGGGAACAGAGAGCACAGGGACCATGGGAGGGGAGCAGAGCAGGTTCCTCTGGGGCCTGTGAACCAACAGCTTGTACTGCCAGCTGGCATCACGGAGGGGCCGCGCCATGCCACAAGTACCTTTCCACACGGCTCTCCTTCCCCAGCACCCTTACCCCAGGTCAGGGGCAGTCACCCTCCCAGACTGGCTGGAGTCCAGGGGGCAGTGCTCACTAGGCTGCATCTCCAGGCAGGATCACTATCAAGGACGACCACGGAGCTGCATTAATGCTGCCCCTGCCCCCTTCAGTCCATGGTGACCGCAGAAGAGGCAAGACTCCTCTGGTCCCACGGGCTGCTCCTTGCTTGGGCAGGTCTTCACCTGACCTTTTCCATGCCCCTGTTAGGCTTGTGAGGATTTTAAGGTAAAATGAGAAAAGAGTTTTGCTCTAAGGACAGTCTAGTGTGTCCTACAAGAGACAGAGCGACACCAGGCACAGCCTCACAGGTAGAACAAACAAGAAGCAAGAGAAAATAAGCAGGTTGGACTGTGCCTTCCTCCTCTGGTTGTTCCCAAGGCCCCTTCACCCCGTTGCAGCAGGTGACAGATTAACACCCGTTGAAGGCCCCAAAGGGATAGAGTTGGGGAGGAGGAAGGAGAGAGCTTTGCTTTTCTTCCCTTGAGGGAAGCTGGTGTTGTTATGATGAGAAAAACAGACCAAGATGAAAGAAGGGAAAGAAAGAAACAGAGGTAGGCTCAGGCAACTGAAGAGGTATTCAAAGGTCAGGGTCCTGATCAATGCATCTTGGGTACGAGTGTGCAGGGCACAGGTGAAAAGCAAGGCACTGTCTGTTCTCAGACCAGCTCCGAGACAGAAGAACAGAAAGGTCAGTGTCTCTGGTTCTGTGGCCTTAAAGTGGAGCTATTGAGACATATGGAGAAACTTACAGATGTCTACAAGAAAACCAGGTGTGACAGCACATAATTCTAATCCCAGCTCTTGGGAAGCAGAGGCAGGAGGGTTGTGAATTTTAGGTGAGTTTGAGCCACACAGTGAAACCCTGTCTAAAAAAAAGAGAAAGGAAGAAGGCAGGCAGGAAGGGAGAGTGGGTACAGGAAAGGAAGAAAAGAGCCCTGGAAGCCTGGAGAGCAAGCATTTCATTTGGGTTTCCTTTAGAAGCAGAGCCTGAGGGCCTGGGATATAGCTGAGCAGCACAACCTCCTGCCTGGGAAGCAAGATCCTGAGTTCAATTCCTAGTACCAAAAAACCAAAACAAAACAGAGGAAGCAGACCTTAAGGCAAAGAATC